ACGTCTAATGATAATACAGCATCCTCTAATACCGACAGGCATTTGCTAAATATCAGGTCCGATGAGTGCTCTACATCCACGTCACCTTGCCTCTCCAGTTGTTTTTTAAAGTCTTCAGAAAGGTATTCTTTGTATTTTTCCCAAAGACATAAGGGGTCGAAAACCTGGAAAAACAATAAAATGATAGCAAAAAGCTCTCGAATCATATGCAGTGTTTGACAAAGTGTTGCCTCTTCAAGAGCTGAATCCAAATGCCGATCATCTTCGAGTAGACCTAGAGCCTTGCACACGATTGGAAAGTGGGATGTAAGTGACCAACTACAGTTTTCAACGCTTCAAATGCAATCGGGCCTCTGATCTCATGTAGAAGCATTCGAAGATGGTAGCATTCTGTACTGTTTGGATGAACAGTATAAACCCTACCTAGAACGTGTTCCTTTTTGACCCCTGACCATCCTTCAACGTTCACTCCTCTCTTCCTTCTCTGAAACGATCGCTTGTTCCAAACGTAATACGCAGGGAGTTCCGGGTATAGCAATGTTTTTGGAAAGTCATCCACGTTACACAGCTCGAAAAAGGAGAGGAGTGTAGTTGTAGGAGGACTACTCAATATGTTGCGCAAATTCTGCTCATTAAAATCAATTCTCTGTCCATTTTCTAAATGTGTTTCTAATAAGTGCACCTTGCACTACAGGAGGAAAAAGTCATGTATTGGGAATTCAAGGATTCACTAAACTGCTTCAGCTGAACTTATATATCGACCACTTGCGTATGGTTGTAACTTCATCCTTCCTAGCCTTCCCGTTCTCTAAAGTAAAAGTAACCTGATCTGACCCTTTATTAAGATATTTGCAAACGTATTTGATTGACTTCACTGAATGGCAATACTCATATTTACGTGAGCGTTACATGTTCTTAATATCACTGGATTATAAGGCCCAAAGATTATTTATTGTAGCACCCTTGATATTGACAGAGAATCCACCGTCATCCAGAGAACGTCTCCTGTATTGAGGATAACCGTCATCACCGGTTTGAGTTTCCCTAATAAGAGCCTTAGGATAACGTTTGCTGCACGAATTATCTTTCATGCATGGAGAATTTCGGTTTAAACTCCCACAGGGGCCATGTATCGTTATCTTTTAACAATTTCGTAATTCGTAAAGCTCAGGATCACGATCGGGGTTAGGTATTTCAGCACAAATAATTAGTGTTGAGTAGGACTTACAAGAGGCAGTACATTTGTCCCGGACATGACGGCAAAATGTAAGAGCGGCTCAAATTTTTAAAATGTACTATTTCACATTAAATGTCGCGATAGTCGCGTCTCGTTACTCACTCACTCTTCGTAAGTCTGAGAGAGAGCGAGGCATGACATTTTATTTAAGTCCTCTACGCACTATCCATCTGTATCTCTTTTACGTGTATAGCGCTGTCCTGCATGCTGGATCCAGCAAGATTGATAGTGCGTAGAGGACTTTAGTCGCGTACTTTACCATTTCGTTCGTTTGAATACGTTCAAAAACATTGACGTATTTTTTTTTACTCAAATGCTTACGACACTAACTAATAATACTGACAATTTTAATTAAGGATACGATTATTTCAAATATAAAATAGTAATACAAAATAGTTCACAATATGTTTCAATAATTTAGTAATGGCATTTATTATTTTTTCAGTGATAATGACTTTTTAATATGTGATAAGTATAGCAAACATAGTTAGAAGCCACAGCCGGTAAAAAAAATCCAAATATTATTTTTTGGAATTGTCGTGGTCGGGCATACACATTATTTTTGTACAGTGTAGTAGTACCTATCTCTCTGTTATCTTAGTAGTCTGTGTTACAGTGCGACAAGGATCTTGTGACGCATCGCATGACACAAACTGGTAATAATGCTGTCTCACTGTCATCCACACGCCAAATAATCCTTGTCACTCGCACTGGGTTGCGTTCAAAACCTACGCTCTAGGTGCAACAAATATCTAAGTTGACATTAGCTTCATACATTTTATATAAAAATTTAAACGTCAGGGTAAAAGTTGCACTCAGAGCGTAGGTATTGAACGCAGCCCAGGGTTGCGTTCAGAACTTACGCTCCAGGTGCTACTCGTGCACACAAACGTAATGTCGAGCTTCTGTACACCTCAATGTCATATTTGTACTCGTCACTTCAAATGTATTGCCGAGCTTCAGTAAATAATATGTCAATTTGATCCGGAGTGATGCGATGTTGAAACCATAACATTATAATATGAATGTGCGGAAGACCTCGCCATTTCGCCTCGGCCATTCATCATCAGGTATATGCAACTCAGTGAAAACACAACGATAGCGCGTTCTAAGAGACTACTGACACCATGTATTGTCAACATTCAGAACTAAAAATTATTTTTAGCACACTATCGTTTAAAACGTAGTTTTGTATGCATGCATGCTTTTTGTTCGGAAAATGCCGTTTTATCCACAAATACCTACGTCGTAGTAGCTTTATGCGTGCAAAGTCTCAGCCCGATCGGTTCAAAATTGACAAAGTTTGATACAGGATTTCATTCCCTATTTTATTAAGAATTGGGGGTAGAATTGATCAAAATCCTTTCTTAGCGGATGCCTACGTCATAACATCTACATGCGTGCCAAATTTCAGCCCTATCCGTCCAGTGGTTTGGGCTGTGCCTACATTTGAGTTTTATATATATTCAGACTCTTGAATGGGCTTAGGTTTTTTTAAACATCTGCGTCATAATTTGATAATATCTTTTTTTCTTATTTTTAATTTTTGAATAAAAATAGCAGCCGTTGATTGTCTCAGACACCGCATACTCTTTGTGTAGATAATAGATAAGTATCGTACTAATATTATTATCTAAGGTCGCCTGCAACTTTATCCGCGTTTAGAGAATCCCACAGAAACCTGTAATTTTTCCGGGATAAAAAATATCCTATGTCTTAATCCAGGTCATAAACTATACACCATAAATTTTGTGTTTCTGAAACTTTACTAGCTTATTCAGACAACGATTTAGGTGATATTTTGTACTGTGTACTGAATAAAAAAATACGCATACATTTTCATAACTCCAAAGCAATTTAATACGAAATGGAAAAAATATTTATAATGACAGCACAATATTGCCAAAGGGTAAAAATAAATGTCGGTTTTTCATCAGAATAAAATGTCGATGTTCGTATATTAAAAATATTTTTCATTTTACTAATAACTCACCTACGAGTAATTGGAATAGCATTTCACAATCTCAAAATGAAACATTCATTATTATCACAAAAAGCAATTATAGTGAAATATGTTATACGGCCCCGGTTTATTCCGTATTCATCTTATGACATCTCATTCAATTTCCTTTAGAAACTAATATTCCTAACTCAACCTTTTACATCCATGTTTAATAATACTTTCATTTTAATATCCATATTTATTATATTTCAAAACACAAATTACAACTTCAATTAAATTGTTAAAATCAAATTCTATCTCGATAGCAAAAATAACTACTGTTAACACTGATAACTTTTTATATGTTTATTTTTAAGCAAGTAACTGCCAGATGTTTAAACATAAAGAAAAAATTATAAAAAAAAAACCACACGGTCCTAAAAATTTCTAATAATAACTTTTCGAATGACTAAAAATTTTTTTACTTGACTAGTTTTGAGGAAGAGAGAGAGAGAGAAATATTTTAATAACTATTTAACACACGTAAAACAAAAGGAAAGAAACACATTTACATTAATGTAAAACTAGATTTTAAAAGAACTCAAAACTAAATAGTAATGAAATGGTCAATCAGGACCCTGCCGCAGCATAATGGTGCTGCCACACGCTGCTAAGCATGTGATAACAACGCTGATATTCTGGAAAGGCCAAAAACTTTGTATGCGTCGATATTAAAACTCATTTAAAAATAGAAATATTGTTTTTGCCATTAGGTTATTGCAATCATATACAGTAACCTGTCTACAGTAGCTCTCACAAAAACTTATACGATAGACCGTCCCAACATTAATAAATTAGAAAATGGAAAAAGTTTAGAAAATATTCATCTTTTAACCACTATGCACTTACACATCAGATGTTTCAGCTTTCAAAACATTAAAACGACGTATCTTCGTCGAAAATGATCTGGCGAAATTCCTCGGCAGCCTCAAGTGCGGTGGTAATTTAAAGTTTCGACTGCGATAACTTTAGTGGGCGTCCTCTTCAAACATCCGTTAAAAGTGGTTTGCTGCTACATGAGAGTACCTTAGCTGTAGATCTAAAATTCGTTTCTGCCTACATCCTGAGATGTAGGATACGACCATACAATTTTAAAAGCATACATTAACAGTAATCCAGAAAAAAAACAACACGACGGCATTTTTGGTCTTGGTAATTAGAAAATGACATGTCGAGATGAAGGTATAATAATATATTTACATCAATAACCACTGTATTCTGATTACTTTTTCGTTCCTGTATAAGTTCCATACATTTCATATAACTGTAGCTGGTGGTCAGCCGACTTTCTATTTTGTGCTCGGGATAAGCTATAAATAGTCTCGACCGTATTTTAAATTCACGAATTCATCATGTTACTGCGTCGAACATGTTGCTCTATGTGTTACTATTAAATTTGGTCAACGTAAAAAAACTTGTATTTTCGTGAGACTTCAAGAAGATTTAATAACGCTTTTATATTATTAGAAAATCAATCAGAGTCCGAAAAGCTACGCGTGAGAAAAACTTTTAAAAATCGTCGGACTCGCCCATGAAGGCTTCCGTAGCAGCAAGTAACATAATATAAAACTTCTTGTTAGGGTTAGAAAACAATGGTTTACGGTTTATGCATAAGGTTTATGTTTCTAATTTTTATTTTATTTTTATATTAGAGTTGGATGAATGAAAGGTAAATTGTGGTTTACGATTATGACGTATTAAAAAAACCTTACAAAATCTTGTTCAAACCAATTTTCGGTGGAAGTTTGCATGGTAATGTACATCATATCGCTGGTTTGCGAGAATAGCGACGGAACTAAAAATTATTGATTTTAGAGAATAGCATTTTTTAATTTCCTTGTAAATATTTTAGTGCATACCGCAAAATGTTTATGATTTATTGAGAGATCGACTTTACTGATTGAAGGAAAATTTATCGTAGTATCAAAAAACATAAAAACATTTTAGAACTTTTATTAAAATTATTTAAAAAATCGTCATACAAAGGGGGGTTTCAGACATCAGTCTTTATTCATGAGACTCCAAATTATAAAAATCAACTTATGTCATTTATTAAGCTTTAAAGCCTCTTTAAAATACAAGTTAAAACTTACAACAGTGTTTAAAACTTTTGTACTTATAGTATAGTATAACAAATTAAAATAGTTTTATAACATACAATAGTAACTTTATATTTAGGTATTAAAAACATTGTTTTTCAAAAAAAATGAAATCAAAATAAACTTGAATTCTTCAAAATAAGTAATGAAAAAAGTCAAAAATAGGAACAGTAATTCTTAAAAGGAAATATAGGTAAGTAAAATAAATCATTTATTTTACAACCCCTCATAAAATTGACGATAATAGTTTGGAATTATATTTTTGTTAACTAAATCTATTAGTCCTCGCTTCTTATTTTCTGAGATTCCGTTGCTTTTTTTATAAGCAGGTTGCAATTTGTAATTTTCGTCCAAAGATTTTGATGCACGGTTAGTAACTTTCACGCATTTAAATTCATTATCACCGTAAGATGTTTTATAGAAAAAGAACCCTTTGTAGTCAGCATCTACTTTTAAAACCTTTATATCTGCCATTTTCACACCCTCATTATCAGTATTTTTATTAAAATTTCTACCCACGTCAGAAGCTAGTGACTTTAATTCGTAAAAACTTTTATGATCCATTTCGATGACTTTGTAAGGAGATCCTTTCTTTTTTGCAGTGCGAATAATTGAAATGTACTGATCCGGTGTATAGATTGGGCCCGATTTCAAAGTCTTTTTGATGCTTCTTTCAATGACAGAATGCACACTGTCACCTTCATTTTGAGTGTGCCCTTTGATTAGAAATTTATGTGTGATACTATTTATATGAGCAAAAGTAGAAACAGCGTACATGTACATACTAATAATAAATTTATTCTTTTGCTGTCCGCAGCAGTTATCAGAATAAAAAATAATATCTAGTTTGGCTTCAGTTGTTACATCTCTGCCAAGACTTTTTAAATATTCTAAAAGACAGGTGCCTATTTCTATAGCTCCTCTATTTGCTTCTCCTTCATGCCACACGTAGCAGATCGCATTTTTATTTTTCATCTCATAGATCGTAAAGTTTAAGGTATTCACTTTAGAAACATAGTAAAAATTAGACACATCCCCCCTAGGACATGGCATCACAGCCTGTAAGTCATAAACTGCTACAATAGTTGATTCTTTATCTTCTGCTTCTTGCTTGTCCTTAACCTTCTCTATTCTTGAAAGCTCTTTTTCTTTTAGATGGTTCTCATATTTAGACTTTAGTCGATTTTTATCTTCTCCAGTTGCGTTTTTGTAGGCAAAACAATCTTCGCACTGATCCTTCTTAGGTTGGTAAAAGGCTATGTTAAATTCTCCATTAAATATTCTATTAAACATGATATAATTAGCACTTTTCTCTCTTTTTTCTTCACACTGTTTCACATAATCTCTATAAATTTCTGCAATAGACTTACTTCCATCAATATATTTTTTTCGCGTATCTGCTCGACAGTAATGGCTTTCTATTTTTGGTATCGCCTCAATGAAATTTCTCAAACTGTCTTTAATCTTATTATCTACACGACTGTGATTGCCATGTTTTCCTCGCAGATCCTCTACTATAATGCCTGAAACGTCACTTCTTGATTTTTCGGTAACTGTTCGAATAAATCTATCAGATACATCCAGCGTAGACATAAAAAAACTCTTACAAACTCGAATTTTTTCGCCATCTTTATCTTTCAAATAAAATGCGTTATTATTTCGACGTGTTCCTTTTTTATATTGATACGTAGGGACAAAAGAGGACATATTGAATGCTACAAAAGTTCTTTTACTTTGCAAATCAGGTAATTTATAATATGCGTCAAAAATATGGCGTCGAGTCTCATCATTAAACTTTGTGTTACACTTTAACTTACATTTTTCTGTACATCCTGGTCCTATTCGTCTCTCTCGTATAACTTTATTATTTTTACCTACATATTCTTTCCCTGCATTTCGTAGGCGTTTTGCTACATTCGTTTTCCAAAGTTCTGGCTTCATTTTCCTCTTACGTGTAATATTTTGGTTTGATTCACGTGAAATATTTTCTTTTTCATTCTGTTCTACTGTTTCATCCGAATCTGACGATAAATCATTATTTTCAATGTGATAATTAGGATCTGCGATACTATCATCAGATGAAAAATCTCTTTCTTCCTTTCCTTCTTCACTTTCAGCATTCATATTGGTCAATTCAATACCTTTTGGTTCACTTTCTATTTGTAAATTACTTTCTACTGCAGTCTCATCTTTCATATTATTATTTACTGATTCTATACTTACCATATTTCCTTTGGTTTTATTTTCTAGGCTATGGCCGTGGAGTTCTTTTTCATTTAAACTTATCATGTTATTGGATTCTTTATTACATTCTTTTATTGCTCTGTTGCTGGAGGAAGACGAGCTAGAAGACGAGGAAGATGAGCTGGAAGTCGAGGAAGATGAGCTAGAAGATGAGGATGACGATGTGGATGGTGATCTTTGTCGCAATCTCAATTTATTTTCTTCTGAATTATTACCTGAAATTCAATAAACATTTATTTATTTACAGAATAAATACCAAAACCAACAGTTATCGTTATTGCATGCATTTCACAAGTTTCTTCCAGAGGAACATCATTATGTAATAGAAACACTCGCATCTTGTAATTCCCGGGAATCGAACCTAGGAGGTTACGATCAGCCACTAACGTAAGTGTAAACTATTTGCAACAGGACAAACTACACAACGAAATAAAAATAATATCGAAAAAAATCTTACGACTTTGAATTTAAATATTTTATTTTGCTTACCTGATGTGTTATTATAATTTATATCATGTTCGACATTTTCATCGCAACTTCTTTCATTTAACGGCAAACTGCTTTTATGTTTATCGGTACCTAAAATATTTTGAATAGTTAAATAGTTGAAAGAATTAATAAAATTGAAACAAACTGCAAATATATGAAAATTCTAGACTACACTCACTACGTTCACTATTAGTTAAATCTTGTTGATCCTCATTTTCTTTATTTTTACTGGCCGCTTCTTTCAACTTTCCCAAGAATAACATTCTTTCTGCCATCTTGAATAACTCTAATAAAGATAATTATCTGAAACAAATAATTTAACGAAAATAATTAATTATCAATGAATACCATGAAAAAATTTACTCAATATTTCTATCCCAAAATTCCTTGAACATAGACGCATTTCGTAATAAGAAGCAAAACCGTGCCCATTTTTTTCAAAAATAACGCCGTTTCTTATATACGACAAAATAAAATCTGTTTATTTTTCGTGAATCTAGACGCAAGTTACATAAAGTCGGTATAAAATACAATATCATAAACAATCACACATATTTATTCAAGAATACAGGCGTAAATAGAAATAAGATATGTAAATATACTTACTTTTATCAGAAACAACGACGGATAACTAAATATGTCACAATTCTTGAAAAAAAAATAACAATTGTTGCAACCGAACTGTAAATACGTTGGTATTTTCGAGAATCGACCGTGCGTTCACTCTGTTGTCATAGGCTCAACTGAGATGAGCCTTTATTTGTGATCACGCTTTGAGTGTTTTGTCTCAAATGAATAATGACGCCTTCTCTTTCTAACGAACGCTGGCGCGAAATTGGCATTGCTTCTCTGTTCACGATAAAATATCAAAGATTTATGATTGTTTGGCATACATAATTCAATTTGACAGTATTTTGAATTACGTCGATATTCTCGCAAACCAGCGATATATTTTTTTAGTTACATCATTCTCTTATTTTAGAAGTTACAATGGTAAAATGTTTGTACCCCACGTTTTACCTCTTTGGAAGTGTCTCTCGCGCAAACTATTCAGTTTAGAAAAAAATGTGATACAAACCTCATCGTCTTAGGAATGAATAGATGTACGATTGCAAGGATCTGTGGTTTATCAAATCTAATGTAATGGTTTGGTCCCCCTAATGCATGTTCACACACTGCAGACTTATTTTCGAACCTTTGTTTCATATCTGCAATATGTTCTTTTACCCGAGTCCCTATACTTATACATATATATACATTCGCATTCAAGTTTGTATACACCAGCAACTTGAAAGGGTATATTGCACTTGACAGGTCGTAGAAACTGGTTGATCTTCTTCGTCGGCTTGAAGTAATTATTGATCGAAGTTCGCTTTAGAATCCTCCCAAACTTGTCAGCTTTTATATAAGCAGCAGGTTGTCGGTCGACTGTGCTAGGTTTGGTGCTTTGTGACGGCGACGTGGTACATTCAGATTATTATCCTTCAGTACTCCATCGACATGCTGAAGCTCAACTGCCAGGTGTTGTTTATCACAGACGCCCGTGCTCTTTGAAACAAAGAGTTTCCTACGGCAGTTAACTGGTCCGGATGATGGTGTGAGTCGCCACTGAGGTACCTATCAGTATGTCCTACTTTACGATACAGAGCATGGCTTAAATTTTGGTCAGGATTCCTGATTAATAAATATCTAGAAAAGCTAGTTTACTCTCTGCCTCTAACTCCATAGTAAATTGGATGTTGGGGTGTATGGAGTTAAGGTATTTAAGAAGGCAGAAACTTGATCTGTTGGAAGGATCGTGAAAGTATCATCTATGTACCGCTTGTATATCCTGCGTATGACATGTGCCACAATGAGAGTCCTTTTCTCGAAGTCTTCCATGAAAATATTGGGAACCCATCGCAACACCATCTACTTGTACATAGAAGTCATCCCCCCATAACAGGTAGCCAGATGTAAGGCAATGTTCTAGTAATTCTGCATATTCTAAAGGCATATTGTTCCAAGTAGCTTCTTACAATTACAATTAGTGATTTTAATGCAGTCCTGTACTGGTAGGCATCTAAATAAGGACTGAACATCAAAGCTGACCATGGTTTGATTTTCCATGAGACGTTGATCTTGAATCTCATTGACAAATTAGTATGAATCCTTCACAAAGGCTGTTGTGTTACCTCTCAGTTCAGTGGTGAAAGTAACTTTGCTACGTGTTTAGTCAAACGGTATGTAGGTAAGTCAATCTGGCTTACAATTTGACTTAGCGTTAATAAACAAAGCAATCAGTGCATCTACACCGTTGGAACTTGTTTTATCTAAAGAAAATGTGTTATTATGGCACAACTCTTCTCTTCCCAACTACGAAATTATGAATTCGGACCTTGATTTCGATTGGTAACGAAAAAAAACGTAGGGAAAGTGTTTGCAAACTTGTTTTTTTCCTCCTGTGTCTGAACGAGGTGTGTTTGGGGAGGGATATAGGCGTCTGTAAAACTGGTCACTAAATTTTATGTTAGGTGACTTACAAAACATACTACGTCGGGGTGATTACTGATACGACAAAAACAAAGTAGAAAAGGTATCTTAGGTGACCATTAGGCGGTAGATTTTGCTGTCAGTTTGCTGGTAGTCAAGGTTTTGACTAAAGCGCATATTCCACCTGACTAAATTCAGACTTCCTAAATCATTCAGTAACTAATTCAGTCAAGTGAAATCGCATTTAGGAAGTTTGGATCCTAATTAGCATCCTAAATCGGAAGTAGTGTGGCTTCTGACTGACTAAATCATTTAGTATCCTAATTAGAAAGCGATTTAGGAACGTGTGATAGGGTTTAGATGCTTTAGTCGCACCGCAGGCGCCAATGCGTGAGGACGTTAATGTGTCTACGATTACGAATTACGCGATTGCGCGTCGGCGGCAAAGGAAAAAGAAATTTTGAGTAACATAATTGAATTTTATAAAGATATGCCGTATCTTTGGAACATAAACGATAAAAATAACATTAATAATATTAATATTCTTTCACCCAAGTTTTTCGTTTTTTATTTTTGTTGAACCAACGGCCAGGCCTACGAAAAGACCGATTTTTGTTACTTTGACAGAACTCGCAACTAAATTAGTCAAGTGTAATCAGAAGCTTCTAATTAGCTTTCTTTTTAGGATCCTAATTGGGACGTCTGAATTTAGTCAGGTGGAATACGCGCTTTATGGTTGATAACCTGACGTCTAATAGGGAGACTGATGGTGACTGATAACTTTTTTAGTAACGGATGGTGACTGGTAGTTTTTTATCATTCATGACTTATGGAATTCACAGATGTCTACATGAGCGTCTAATTAACTTCCAAAAGTTCTTGTGTTGCATAAATACAAACAGCAAAAACCACTAGTAACTACACAGTAACAGGAATTAAGCGAGGGCTGCTTACAAGTAGGTATTAGTATAATATAAATAGAAACAGCGTGGAGTTCGCTGTATCAAATCAGTTTCAAGTAATGAATTGCACTGCTTGTTAATAAATTACACAAGAGCAGGATTAAAGAGTTAAAGACAAGTCAAAAACCAACTAACAGTGTAAGTAAATAGTACTCAACTAGCAGTGTAAATACCTAGATTTTAAATGACTCTATACAAAGTAGACTTTCATTTAATTTAGACGCAATCAATTCGTCGAGTAACTTAGGCACTTGTTAGAGCGGCAACTCTAAGTGGAATCAATCAATCTAGTAGAAACGGTTGTAAGAAAATAATCGTTCTTAAAAATGCTGTGGGTACGTTTATATGGTAGGTATAATAATAAATAGGACCGGAAAATCTTAGACTGACATCAGATGAACTGCACCACAGCAACCGCAAGTAGTCGATTTATTCAACTGCATGCAGTTTTACGTTAGACTTTCTTAAAGGCTCAGTCAACTTCACACAAGCGCCTGCAGTCGCGTGAAGTCGATATTAGCTGCATACAGTCGTGACTTCAACTTCACGTGGTTGGCTACAGTCGCGTCAAGAGCTAGATGTCGCAAATTAGACCATTCGGCCTGCGATCGTGATTGGAAGGGTGAACAAAAACTTATGATCTCGAGCTCCTCCGTGCTTTGGAATGCACGTTATGCCGTTAGTCCCGGTTGAATCTGCAATCGGTACCACCCACCAATCCGCACTGGGCCCGCGTAGTGGCTCACGTGGGTGGAAAGTCTGTGCCCCGTCTCTTGTCCCCTGCAGTGGGGAAATTAATAGGCTGACAGTGTGATTATGAATCTAATTCTGGGTTACTATATACCCTACTATTATATAAAACCTATTTAAATTATGATCGGGCAAAAACACATAGTCAGTAATGCATTAGAGGCCCTCATGACACAAAATTATATTCCAGACTACTCGCACCATACGAACTAATAAATTGATACAAAGTTAATAAAATAAATGTTTATAAATTTTGCTTTAATTAACACCAGCCCTGCTAAGTTTAACATTAATTTGTGAGCTAGATCTGATTGATTTGTGAGATAGACAGCGTCTAGATTCATTAGTATCTATTTTACTTATGTAATTTGTTCGTTACTATTTGGTAACGCTAAAGACAATATAATTGGTAAACCTCCATTACGCGCCATTCGTTTTTCAAATTGTCACATCATTCATACATTTAATCGATCCTTCTCCTTCAAACGCAGTACCTAACGTTTATGAGGGAAGAAGACACAAGATGCTCACCCGCGACAAGTGCGTGACAGACGTTCCCGACGGATGGCAGAAGTATTGAGAACAATCACGCATCGCATCGCTCAGTCGTCGAATGTCGCCTGCCGCACCGCTATCGACTGAGTGAATTGTTTTCCTTTTCGTTTATTACCGCGGGACAATATCCTCGAAATAAGAAACCGTGTGTTTTGTGTTATTGTGAGTATATAAGATTGTGCCGAGAAAATCATAGGAAGACGCAAGCGTTAATTGTTTGTGTGACCGCTATCTTGGTGGTAACTACTAGCACCAGGAAGGGTCTGCAGCAGAGGCTGGGCTCAACCCCTCAGTCAGCGTTTATCATCAATCTATCCTAGAATCCGCCATCCGCCTTCTTACATTTCCAACTAGCACCTTACAGTCCACTCTTCGGGATTTCGATCCCACCAGGTATCGTTTAACCCGCCTTATCTATTTTTTTTGGTCACGATCTCTTCCTTTCGATCTCTTTGAGACGTATTTCCATCAATTATGCAAATTATTTGTCGCATAAACCGCTACCTACTTCCCTATTTGATACCGCTCTCTATACTAACGATACATAGATATCACATTTGTCCTTCCGCTTTTGCTTGTCATCAAACGCATTTAATTATAATGAAGTCATGGTGTACTTTGGATATCTACACTCCGCTCATAAGAAGTATTTTCGAATTATTTTCTAGATTACGGTCGTTTATATACCTAAACTATCAAATCCCGCACTTCGCATTATCAATTATTTATTAATATCACATGGTACCATTTCGTTTATTAAATTATTATTCTATCCGCATATATTGGGTAGGTTTACATAAAACTATTTCCTGCCTACGTTCGACGGCTCGCTCGCTTCGCCATACACCGCATTATATCAATATAAAAGTATAATCTGAACCGTAGCTCGTCTTTGGGATATTATGGGTTTTGTCTCACCCGTAAATCTTTACGCAAAACTACTTATAAAAGAGTTGTGGTTCTTGAAACTTGATTGGAACGATGTTCCCCCGCGTCATATCCAATTGGAAAATATTTTGCATCACGCTTTGAAATAAATTTAACTTCCGCGTCATTTGGGTCTTGTCTATGGCTGTGCTTTCCATTTGGTCGGTTTTTCTGACGCTAGTGAATTCGCTTACGGGGCCGTCGTTTACGCTCATGTCACTCGCGCTGACGAGGTAATTTTGCAACTAGCCTGGGTCAAGTCTTAGGTATCGCGTGTAAAGCCGTTGTCTATCGCCAGGCTTTGCACAGCAGAGCATCTGTCAAAGCTTCTTTTCGTCGTGTACATGACACTTGTATATATGATATTTTAGAAATTTATGCATTCACCGCAGAGCACTTCTACCACGTAGCAGGTACAGAAAATCCCGCTGACTGTTTGTCACGAGGCTTGACG